CTAGGTTAACTCCTCCGCTCATGGCATTTTTTGCTCTCTGTGCCTGCTGAAGTGGGTTATAGAGCTACTGGTTCAGGTCTGCTTTAAATCCATCAGTGAAGAGCTCTGGGCTAAGAAAACAACACCGGTTTAAACCAGTCCTGCCAAAAGAAACTGTTAATATGAAACTAAATCCTGGTTGTCTGGACATAACTGTGGAAATGTACGCACTGCCACTCTTTAAAGTGCAACTGAGGTAAATAACCATGCACCATCCTTAGAAGTCTTGTACTAGAATAGTTTTGTGTCTCTAGAAATGTTTTGTCCATAACTTGCTATCATGACTGTAATCAGCAGTAAGGTCCTTCCAAGTGCAAATTAAAAAGAAGCTTGTTCTGAACTCAGGTGGTTTTTTCATGTTGTATGGAAACGCGTGTGACAGTCAAGCCAATTTCTTAGTGCGGGTCAAAATTGGATCAGGCCACTCTTTGCAGTCCCTGCTGGAGCAGGCAGGCTCCCCTTGGGCTGCTGGCAATGTTGAGCAGTCCAGTCCTAACATGGCACTGGCACAACAGGTGTTCACAAGACAATGAGACCCTGTAAATAAATACCACCATTAATAGGTTTTATATATTTCCTTAACAAACGTGTATGTGTTTGTATCCACATGCATCTTTGCTGCCTTTGGAAAGAGATAGGGTGCTTTCTGTGCAAGACATCTTCTTTTGTTGGTCTGGAGCCATTTAGATTTCCTGCATAATGTAGCAAGATAAAAGCTTCTTTTGACAACTTGATTTATATGCTGTTGAGCTCTTCAGTGCACTGTGAGATAGATCCTTTTCATGAGATCCTCTGTTGAATATAAAAGACAAGAATGTAGAAACTGTGGTTCCTGTATTTTCTTTGTCTAAGCAGGTGGCTCTACACAGACCCCTTGAAACGAGCAAGACAGAAGCATTAACTACAAAAATAAGAAACAGTAAGGAATAAAAGGTCTTGAATGTCTCAGAGTGATACTTTAACATTCAGCCCTGTGGCTCTTATAGCCCATCTTTTAATTATAGCAAGGTAAAGAGTTTTTTTAATTTGCACTTAATTTTCAGTCTGTAACACACACAGGCGTGCACACAAAAGCAACCCTTTGCTTCCCAAAACATCAGAGGTTTCCTCTCTGTCCACTGCCTTTAAGTTTTACACAGCTGTAGCAAACATCCCTCTACATGGGCTGCTAACATGAATACAGATACATCAGTTTAAGGATAAACAGGGTATATTGCATATGACTTGTAATATGTAAAGCTGACTTTGTTTTTGACCCTGTTGAACCCGGGACTATATAAAGGAAATGTTTTCATGCCAGTTTCTGTGGCATAAGTTGTGCTTTTATTTTCAACAAGTTCTGTTACTGAGAATACAAAAGTGATAATGTTTTGATACACACTTGAGACATACAGGGTATTGATTCGCAGGAGATCACTTAAAGACTTGCCCAGTAATCTGTTGTGCATCCAGGCCTCCACGTGGAAGCAGAAGAGCCTTTTGTCTCATCACTGAGTCCAGGGGGAACCTCAGGGGAAGGTGTCCTTCCCTTTGGCTGTTCCACTGTGCTTGGATGTTATTGTTCTGTCTTGTTAAAGATGTACCAGCTTTTGCAGCAGTTGCTGTCTTCCCTTTGCTGTTCTTGCTCCCTCTCTCCTCTCCCTTTTTTTTAAATTTTATTTTGTAGATGGTGCAGTGTGTGCACTTCAAGTGACCAGTCACTTTTGAAGGGGACACCTTGGTGTACTTGATACCATGGAATTTAATAATGAAATGCTATACATAAATAATTTTGAAATCTCCATCAGTTGGGGCTTTGATCTAGCTACTTGGGTGGCAAGTTTAATCAGCTGGAAAATGGATGTCATAGAGAAGCTCTTCAATGCACTACTGCCTCACTCACCTTATTTGCTGCCTCGAGCTTTCTGATAAGGGTGTGCCCTGCTGCTGGGTAAATGCTGTCAGTCTGCTAGACATGGAAAGGGCTTCCTTCACGCTGTGCTGGTGCTCCTGAATTATTATTTTTTTCCACTTCTCATTTTATGAATAGCAGTGTATTTCTGACCTGCCTGTAGACAGAGCAGCAATTTACAACTACCTGGAAAACACTGTTGTCTTGGTAAGATGCTGAAGGTTACATATTTAAGATTGTGATTAATTTGTCTGTCCTTCAAACTCCTTTTATAGTAAAACAAATACCTCTGTGCTGGTGCTCCTGAATTTTTTTTTTTTCCACTTCTCATGTTATGAATAGCAGTGTGTTTCTGACCTGCCTGTAGACTGAGCAGCAATTTACAACTATCTGGAAAACACTGTTGTCTTGGTAAGATGCTGAAGGTTACATATTTAAGATTGTGATTAATTTGTCTGTCCTTCAAACTCCTTTTATAGTAAAACAAATACCCTTGGCTACCTAAGATCAGGTAGTCCTGCCCAGGTGTCTGAAGAGGAATACGTATGAGTACAAGATTGGTGCCTCAAATTGTTTCTTAAGAAAATTTCCCTGCTTTTCTTTCTTTGTTTTAGTGCTCCCATCTGGGGACAGTGGTGGTGACAGACATCCCCTTAGTAACTTCAACAAAAAGTTTGTAGGAAGCGCTCAGTGTCATGAGCTGAGTGTTAGGAAAGGTGAAGGCTTTCCTAATCATTCGTTAGAGATCATAGAGCCTGGAAAATTAACACAAACATGGGGTCTTCTCTTTTTGTTTAAAAATGGTTTCAGCTTTGGAAAAAAAAAAAAAAGGGAAATGAATCTGCACAGTGTAATTCTGCATCTTGCAGGAGTAATTTTATCTTGCTATTTCTGGCTATGCAGAAAAAACAGCTAAATGGTAGGAGCAAATCCCCAGGATTTTGCAGCCCTGGGCTTCTTGTTCTGTAACACTGGTTGAAGTACAATTCTTTTAAAAAGATGCTACTTGTGCCTGTACGGGGTTGAAGGCTCAGATGTGATACCTGGTGCGTGTTGCTGCTCGTAGCCATAATAACATACGAGTGCTGGGCACCAACGAGAGAGGGTGGCATGAAGTGAGAGCGGAGCTGTGGGCGTGGCAGACGTGTCGGGCCCGGTGCCTGCGCAGCAGCAGCGCAGCTCGGTGCAGTTCTGCGGTGTTCCGCGGGTCCCCGCAGCAGACGTGCTCTGCCTGGCGATGGCAGGGACCGCAGTGCAGTGCCGAGGCTGG